GAATTTTACAGGTCCCTAAAAATCTCTGGCCTCCCTCTCAATGGCCCTGGATAGATGCTAGTAATAGAACTACTAGCAATTACTACTAATCTGTAGAATGCAAGGTATTTAATATGTTTAAATTGTAAATTCGTTTTATTAGTCTTAAAATCTGATATTTAAAATTGTTACTTTATAATTATTCCATTTTAAAAATGTGATTTTACTTACTTTTATATGCTTGTCAAAGAAAGATTCGTTATTATGAGCTTGGAATTAAGTGCATTTGCTTTAAGTAAAGAAATGAATTTACATTTTAGTGCAGTTGTCAGTACAGTTTAGCAAAATACTTGTTTTTCTTCCGTAATTTAGTTATGATTTTGTTTTGACTAAAGGAATATTTCTGAAAATTTTTTAGATGTAGATTTTGATGAAATGGAAAAAATGAAATAAATTATTGGTTTATTAAGTTTAAAAAGTATAAAATTTTAATTTTTTTTATACTTCTATTATTAAATACTGTACTATTAATCACAGAAGTTTGTCTTTAAATTGGACAAAAAATGAATTTAAAAGATCAAGAAAAACTAGATTAGGAGAAATAAAAAGTGATGAGCAATTGTTTATTGTGACAGTCACAATGCTGGGCTGCAATTTTTAATAATTTTTTTTTTATTTAAGAAATTGCATGTCTTCTGGTCCAGACTAGAAGTTTGTATATAGTAATCAAGATCAGCTTTCCATATCTGGTCTTGATTTTCATCTATCTAATGCCATTCTTGAGATAAGGTAAAAATTTTGAATTGATCTGGACTGGAAGTTCATATATGGTTAATTGGTGTTTCCAGTCCTAAGATTTCTATATCTGGTCTCAATCATAGATTAAAATTTTTTTGTTTTGATGATTTGTAGGACCATAGAAGGGTTGGGGCTAGGGATTTTTCCTGGAGAAAACTTAGGGACCATGATAACTCCTATCTTTATAAAATTAAGTTTTTTCTAACAGAAAATAAAATCCTTATGAAGAATGTTTATTAATAAAAAGCAGTCTTATTTTATTTGTTCAAAAAACAAACACTAAAGAATGTGCTGTATTCCTGAGTCCCATATAAGCACTCAACAGTTTATTAGTTATTCTTCTAACAATGTCAAGTACAGAAGGATATTTAATTACATTTCTGTGTTTTTAACAATTTAATTTTAATTTATTCTAGTCTTAACATCATATAAACTTTTTTCTTCTCTATCTGTCACATTTTTTTCTTTTTTAACTGGAATGACGGAATTCTTTAATGATGATTTATGTTTTCATTTTTTTTTACACGAAACACAATCACCTTAATCTAGAAATTTTTGTTTTTGTTAATGATAAAATACTTGATGTATCATTGTGTGGTTCATATGTAAGTCACAATAGCTATAGATTTTGTTTGCAAGATTACTGATATTCTTGAAAACAAGTTTAATAGCCTGTTGAGATAGCAATGTTGTTTTTTATACAGTACTTCTATGTCTAAAATAATCATTGAAGACAAATACTGAAATGATTAATGCATGCTGAACTATACTAGCAATTCTTGTAAATTGATAATGTAGATTTTTTTATTTCTATCATGCTGATTGTTTTTACATTTTTCTACTTTTATCTTGTGAAATAGAAGCTATTTTCAAAAAAATAGCTCATTAATATTATGTACTTTTCCTTATTAACTATGCTAAATGAATGTTTCACAATGGTGTTTTCCAGTAGACTTGAGACAATATTTACAAATGTATTTAATAGCTGTTGTAAAAATTTGATATATAAATGCAAGATCTGGAGCAGACGCAACAGAAATACTGTAAAAATGAATAATATGTAAAAACGTTTAAATTATAATAATACAATATATTTTCAATATAAAAAAAAATCATTTTGTATACTGAAATTCTTCATGCATAATTTATAAGAAAACATCTACTCGAATGCATGTTTTAAAATTAGTTCATGTTCTGAATTTATTTACATGAACAAGGTTCTATAATGTAACTAAAGATTTTCTTTCACATTAAAATGCAATAAACATTATTCCTTAGTTTCACAAGTATTGCATTCTGTTTTTTGTAGTAAAACTTGTAATGAAAAAGCAGATGAAATTAACATAAACATCTTTTCTTCTTAGACTTCTTTATTTAAATAAGCAAACATTTTTTATTTTACGGATAATGGATACAACCGTAGCATGTCAAAAGGCATCTTCATTATTAATTTTGTGGATATTCAAGAAATTTTAAAATTAAATAGGAAAGCTAACAAAACTAAATTTTATTTTAAGCACTCGGAATTTGTTAAAAAGAACTATTTCAATATGTTTATAGTCCGAGAAAGTTGCTGATGATACTTGTTGCATTGCAATTATTAGCAACATGATTAGTTTAAGTTTTCAATTGTTCATAATTATTGATGATTTAAAAAATGATTGATTGTAAAATAAATTTTAAATGAACAGAATCAGTTAATTTTTTAATAGCCATAGAGTTCTTTTTGTGGAAATTATATGTACTGTACAATAGGTTTATTTTCTGTCATCATTCCCATACTAAGATGATTTTTTTTTCTTCTCATTATGGGTTTAGAGAAACCCACAATTAGGTGACTTAATGTGAGGGGCATATCCAACATACCCAAGTCAAACCATCTAAACATATCTAAGGCTCCAGCTTCTCATGCCTAAGCTTGCTTGACTGACTGCTCTGATCATCCAACTCTTGTACAGCTCTCATACAATAGGATTATTAGATTAATTTAATCTGTTACTTGATCCAGTAACTATCTATGTATGCAGTATAATTATATAATATGTATGCAATACATATTATATAAAACTGTTTAAATTACAAATATATATTGTTATTTTTGTATTAAGATGCTACGTAGTTTACAAATACATTATTTAAAAATAAAAATTGATTGTATTACAATTTTAAATTTAAAAAATTCAGCAACAAGTTGCTTAACTTTCCCTGCAACATTTTGTGGTGTTATCTGTTATCATATTTTATTTAAAATCTTTTTATATTTTTAATTACTATAAAATAGCAAAAAGCTTAATTTTGAGGGCAGCGGTGAGTTTTATAAAAAAAAAAAAAAGTATAAATGGTAATAACAAGTAAAATTGTTATTAAATCCAGCCCTACTGGAAATACACAAGATCCCCATTATTTCCCCACCCCCTTGACCTTTAATTACCAAAATTTAATAGCATTGATCTCTTAATAAACGAACCTCCCTGCAAAATTTCAGAAATTTTCAACAAAAAGCATAGGAGTTATTATTAAACTTCAAAGAGGGTGAACACACACACATGCACACTAACATCCATACATACAGAAAAAAACCCTCAAATTTTTTTGCATTTCTTGACATTTCAAGGTCTTGCATCCAAAAATGTAAAATCTTGAGGATTGGTTTTTTGATTGATTGCCATACTTCCCTCTGTTATGTTTACTTTCATACTTCATTTCAAAAATATACTCTAAGACCTGGTATATTTTTAAAATATATTTTAAAAATATACCAGGTCTTAGAGTATATTTTTGAAATGAAGTATGAAAGTAAACATAACAGAGGGAAGTATGGCAATCAATCAAAAAACCAATCCTCAAGATTTTACATTTTTGGATGCAAGACCTTGAAATGTCAAGAAATGCAAAAAAATTTGAGGGTTTTTTTCTGTATGTATGGATGTTAGTGTGCATGTGTGTGTGTTCACCCTCTTTGAAGTTTAATAATAACTCCTATGCTTTTTGTTGAAAATTTCTGAAATTTTGCAGGGAGGTTCGTTTATTAAGAGATCAATGCTATTAAATTTTGGTAATTAAAGGTCAAGGGGGTGGGGAAATAATCGGGATCTTGTGTATTTCCAGTAGGGCTGGATTTAATAACAATTTTACTTGTTATTACCATTTATACTTTTTTTTTTTTATTNTTCCTATTACAAATATACTGAATTATTTATATTGTTATATTGACCAAATAATAATTTATTGGCAAAATGAATAATAAAAATTTATATTGTTAATTTAAATAAGAATTAAAATTGTTAATTTGAATGTTTGAAATATGACATACGATAGGGACGCCTCTAGTGTCCGTTTTCAAACGGTTACGGGACAGACGGACAGTAGAATGGGTTATATATATAGATAATAGTAAACATAATATAAACATGTACTATAAGAAACTTATACTATGGTTCTGTTTTCAGTCCAGCATTAATTTTTGAAAGAAAACATTGTTATGAATGAGCATAAAATGTTGGAATAAACAGTAATAACTTAAAATATTTTAAACAGTTTTCTACATCGTTATTAAAACTTCAAAATTAAAAGATGTTACTAAGACTTTTCTTCAAAGTAGCATTGATTAATTATCATCTTTATATTAATTGAAAGAGGATTTCACTTTGTTTGACTTAGTTTGATTAAATGACTGGATTAATGTATCAAATTAAAGCTTTGGCTGGCCCTGTATATGTTGCCGCTGAAGAGAGATTTGAGAAAGGCGCGATGGTTCAGGCATGGTAAAGGTACAATGCGAAGTCTATTGGACAAACATGTTGGGGTCCCACCCCCTGTTAAGTTTAGTCTGAGCAATTTTTTGTTTTGCAGTTTCATTATTGTAAATACTGAGGCCAATAAATGTACATTTTAGTTACCAAGACCATTGTTTTTATCACCCTTTTCCAACTCAACCTCACCAATCTCCACCCCTTCAAAAGCCTTGAAAAACCAGGCACATACAGCTAGTTAATTTTAATTACAACTTGATGTAGTTTATATCAATAAATAAACTTAAAATGATGATAGTTAAATTATCAAAATTTTATCAAGGATTTAAGAAACTGATGTATAGTTTAAGATGAGTGATATTTTATAATTTGAAAAGAATACAATCTGCAAAATAGTTTAACTGTAGATTATTTCTCTTAAATTAAAACTGTAATTTGAAATTTAATTTAAATGTTTAATTTTGTTGTTAGGTGATTCATATGACACTTTTAAGTCGTCTTGAAGCCAGAAAAAACAGTCATCATCAAAAAGATACAGTTGGTCGAATCTGGGAAAATGTAGGAAAAGAATATCATGAAGCTGAAATGAAAGAAGACAGAGCTCAAATGCTCAAGGCAATTCAGCAGAGTAGTGTTTTAGATTCTAGTGGAGAATTTCGTATAGTGAACTTTCTCCTTAGGGCAGAATTAATGGGATTAAAACATAGTTTACAACATGATGTCAGTTTGATTACTCACTGTACAATTAATGAATTATATCAGTTAGATAAATTGTCATTAAGATGGCATGGACCTATTTCTGTGTCAGTGTTTAGCATTACACAAGATATTCCTTTAGCTGTAGAAGCAATATTACATTTGAGACAATGTTTTCCATCTATAAGGCATAATACCAGTTTTCATCTTATTTATCCTCTGAACAACCCTACTACAGACATTCAGTTACAACTTTCGTTTCCAGAATCATGTGATCTTTTACAAGAAAGACTCCAAAACCATGGAATTGGAAAGAATTATGCCCATAGTGTGCCATATCCTAATAATCTTTTACGTAATGTTGCCAGAAGAAATGCCTTAACTGAATTTGTATTTGTAATCGATATAGATCTTGTCCCTAGTGATCATTTGCATGAAGATTTTCTGACTTTTGCTAAAGAAAATAGATTGTTTTTTGAATCAAATAAGGACGATAAAACAGTTTATGTAGTGCCAGCGTATGAAATGAAAGACGAAACTGAAATTCCAAAAGATAAAACTAGTCTTTTGCAACTTATTGAATTGATGGAGGCAAGACCATTCTATTTTGAGTTGTGCTGGAAATGTCAGAAGTATACTGATTATGAAGCCTGGCAGCGAGAACCTCTTACTGAAAAATTAAGTGTTTTGTTTGAAGTTCTGTGGAGAGATCCTTGGGAGCCTTTTTACATTGGACGCAATACTGTTCCTTATTATGACGAGCGATTTCGTCAGTATGGATTTAACAGAATAAGTCAAGTAGGTATCATTTTGTTGTTGTCTTAAATTTATAAAATCTTAACTTAAATATTTTTTATTAAATATGTGATTTTTTTAAAAAATAAATATCAATCCAAATTGTTATAAGAGGAATGCTACGATTAAGGCTCACTTCATGTTTATTTAAATATTATTAGTACTCAGCATAGTTGTAATGCCAAACTGTTTAATGTTATATAAACCTTAGACATCACAATATTGTATAAAAAGTCTATTAAATTTAGAGGATGACATTTTTCATAACATTGCAATTGGGCCTTATTTGGTGCAATGTATCCTAATGAAGCTCATTTTAGTATTTACAAGAGTATAATCATAATTTTTACCTAGTTGTTGCTTATTATTTATTTACATGTAAAAGTTCCAAAGGTTCCTGAATGTACGATGTTGTGTATTAAACTTGTTTGTAATGTTACTCCATTCTTTAAAGCTTACAGACCTTCATTTGTATCTACAGACGTCAATTCCACTCGTTTCTGACGTATTAAAGTAACTCAATTTTATATTAATGGTATATACAAAGAATTATAATGAGATCCAAATCAGTTTCATCGAACCTTATTAGATCTATAAAACTGCTCTGGTTTCATTATTAATTTTTCTGCAGTAGCAAAGATTTAGGTTCCAGATGTCATAAGAAAAACACATATTGTAAATTAGTGTAGAGAACGAAACTGTATTCACTTGATTGTTTTATTTCTCAATTAAAATCGATGGTTTGATCTGTTACTAAATGTAATATTATTGGTGAACCTTATAAGGAGCTAGGGCCTTAATAAGAACACTTATCTTACATGATGATACTAAATAAATGTTAATTTATTTGAAGTATGAGGGAAAATATTTACTGTTGAAATATATCAGCTCTATTGGCTACTAAAATCAATAAAAAATAAATTGTAGCTTATTTGAAATTTCAGATTTTTTTAAATGTGTAATTTAGTTTGATGATAATATCTAATACGGAAACTGTTAAATATTTCATGAATAATCTGTCTTAAATAATGTTACGTATACACTGTGTATACATCATTTGTAATAGTACAGTTTTTAGTATATGAAACAAAAACTAATGTTTGTCAAAACTTTAAATTTCAAATGCTGCTGTAGAGATTTCAAATGTGTACAGTACATAAGAAATCATATTCACATACACATCATTCTAAACATTTCGGACAAGAAGTAGACTACAACTCAATATGCACCCTGTTAGTAAACTAATCTCGCTTAGTATTATGAAATTTTTAGCGATAGTGTTGTTTTTTTCCCATGAAAATTTCTGACCGAATATAAATATGATTTAGAACTTGCTGAAAAAGTTCTCGTAGGAAGTAATATTTCTCGTATAGATCCTACGAGTTTTATCTGAATTCCTGCTTTTCTTCAAAGTATTTTTATACATTTAAAGTATTTTTTCTTCACGTATTTTGAAGATGTCAAAGTGCTACCCTAACATGACTGATGCAATGGAGAAGTTTGTTGAATACTGTCGGGATGGACAAAATTGTCATAGGTGACAAGTACGCGGCATGTTTCACATCGGAGAAAGAGAGCAATTTGGTGGTGCTGGTATCATTTGTGAGGCATTATGTTTAGTGCTAGAAGACTTACTTGTTAGTCAAACGTGTGGAAACGTGCCTTGCAACCTACGAGACTTCATAATCGCCATGTATTCAGACTTCATATTTGTGGACGATAATATACATGCACATAGGACCGGTTTTTGGGTGACTTTTTTTGAACCATAATCAAAACCTGATAAACCACCCTCATATGAAACACTGTTGAAAGGCATTCCCATACCTTATGCAGGAATATTGTACGAATTTGAAACGACTTTCAAATAAATTTAATTTTTCTTGTTTTGCATAATTAAAGTCTACACTTATACAAATTAATCGCTTTGTTTATTCGTGGATCTAATGTTTTCTAACACGCCAAATATTTTGTCGTTTTGATTAACAGTTTTTGAAATACTGTATCGAGGGATGTAGGTATTATGCCTAACTTTTCGACATCGGTGTAGTTTATAAAGTAATAAATAATATATATTCCAAGTATAATTTATCGTAGTAGAATTGCGAGTCGAGATAGCGCACTCCATTATTCATTTATATTGGTCGAACCCATGTGGGTCAAGCCCATCCGTAATGAATGTAGTTGTGGCCGGACATAGTCTTAATGTGTTGGCGTGTTAATTAATAAATGAATCAATACTTCAATCAGTCTACATTAAGTTATAAAACTTACATGAATATGATGAATATTGTAGATAAGAACTTGCCCACCAATGACCGAGCGGCTATAACCGTAAACATTGGTCGGAGTTTCGCGCCTGACTAAACCACATGAAGTTTTCCGGGTCGTCTTCACGTGTCTAACACCCGATTAGGGACAGTTTCCCCGTATATGAAGTCCTTTCGGAAGGAATCCCCTCGGCAGATGGTCCACGTGTTGCGATGCCATATTCCATCAAGCCACCCAAATGAGATTTTCAATTGCAAATAATGTATATCATTGTATCAAACAATCGCATCTGTTATACTTAGAATTACCCACAAATTGTTTTCGGCATCAAATGCTTTAACAGATATGATCGATTCTTTATATTTTTTACGACATATTCCGATATTTTTAACGCGTTATTCGGCAATAAATTATGAAGAATGTTGTCCATGACGACGCCAAGTACACTCATTGATTGGACGAGTATATAGGGCTCTAGGGATAAGCAATATGATTCATGATCTGTTTTAAAATTTATTTATATACGTTTAATCTGTAAATGTCTCGGGCATGCACATATATGTTACCCTGATTTTTTAGTTTTTTGCATAAAATATTACACTTGATTTATGTGCCGTGTTACCAAAAATCTAATTATGCGATGATACTTTAAACAGAGGATGTTACGATTCTACAATTCTGGTTGTTAATTTTCTGCTTGGTTATTTAACTCCTAAATATTCAGATAATTTCGTTAAACATTTTAAAAAAATTGGGAAAACAGAAAATATGAATAAGGTAAATTAGTGAAATGCAGAAAAATATTTCAGAAGTTTGAATGACTAAATGGAAAAGAAGAATCATAAATATCTCCTTTTACATCTGAATTTTCATTAAGTAATTGCAATAATATTTAAAGTTTCTATTTTTATTATTTCAAATTTATATATTTTAAAATTTGATTTAAGTGCAACGTCACAATCGTAGTACCTATGATGCTCTCCTCAAACAACAATCCTGAATAAAATCCGACAACATCCATATCCGAAGAGAGATTCTGACGAACAAGGAACAGCACTTTAACAGACTCTTCCACGAGATCGATAGACTTTAAAGTGAATTTCTCTCTATAAAAATTAATATCCATATTAAAATTTAAACTGACAAACAAGGATCCAGATACTAAACTAGAATAAACTAGTGAACTGATAATTAATAGAAAACATTAATTTGAATCAAATTTAAGGATAAATTAAAAACGGGAATATTCAGGTAAATATTTACTTGATATTTTATTTAAACTCGTGTAAACTGGCCGATTTTGTTTGGAATAGCGTGTCCAAAATTTTATTCGGTGAAATAATGTAGATTAATCACGATCTTGGAAAAACATCTCCAAAACAATTGGTTAAATGAAGACACGATTCAAGAATAGTTTTTCGTATGACGTATTTTACATAAGAATTTTGGGAAAAAATACCGCTTGATGCAGAAAAATGCCACCACCTTTTGCTGAAATTAGCCCGTGGAAACATTCTGAATTTGATGAATTTTACATTTACTACTAATAGACAATTTCTCAGTAGCATTCAATTTTCTGCCTACAAGGGTGGAGTGAATTAACGCGATTAATATTTAGTTGTTTATTGCAAATCCACTTATCCTCATTGACCAATTCCCTTACGCGCTACCCAAAATCCACTTTGTAGCGCCGTTAGGCAATTTGGAAAAGAGGTGCTGTGGTGCCCCCGAGTACATTTGTCTCTAGCGTATTGTCGGAGTTTGTAGCCCAATTAGGTGCGAGAAATAGCCTTGAGCCGTCCTGGTAAAGTGAGAAACCTATTAAATGCTTTTTTTCTTTTCCATTTTCCGTATCTCTGCACTTGAATGCATTCTATTTTGGGATAACTTTTAATTAAATTTTATAAAGGAACTGTGTGTTTTAAATACTACTATAACGTTATGATTAATCAGATCTAATTTTGTATCAGTTTTGTTTAGAGGATTCTTTATAACTGCGATTCAGCCTTAGTTTGGAACCCCTCTGTATATTCACAAAAGTAGGTATACCTATACAGTTATGAGAAAAATAGAATATGTTTTTGTAGATAAATCACAAGTAAGGTATACGAAATAATAATAATAATAGTAATGAACACCAGATATCTGTATTTCTCAGATTCACAACTGTATACCTACTTTAAACCCCCCCTGTATTTAACATTTACGTAAACCATCAGAATTTCAAAGTGATAAATCTAAGAAATCCTTTTTAATTTTAGAGAATTTGGATCATCTGTTCTGACAAATGGATGTTTGGTTTTATTGTATTTCAAATTAAAGCAGTATACTGATGAATTAATTCCGTGTAGAATCACTGTTGTTAGTTTATAAATCTCATTATACTACATTAACTTAAATTTATCACATTACTGTTTTTTAATCTGAATTTGTAAGACTGAACAGTGCTGGCTTCAGCTATATATTTTGATTTGTATCAGAATAAAATTACCTTGAACTGCAATATAAACAGCTGTGTTAAGGATTCATTTTACTCGCTCCAAAAAGTTCACTCGTAAAAAAATTTGTTTTACTCGTTTTTTTTTTCATTATTTTTATTTTTCAGTTTTGACCGTGGGCACTAAGAGGGCCTTTTAATCATAGCCATCGTGGGTTCGGCCAGGCCCACAATGGGGCAGCTGGACTTTGGGAACAAGGCCCGAGATATTCCTGAAATTGAGATCGTGGGTTCTCCTGGAGTTTTTTTGACTGCCTAGGTTCGATACCGGATCAGCCAGAGCTATAGACTCGTAGAATTTTATTTCGATCGAATTATTATTATAAATATCGGATTATGTTGCTCCCTATGAATATTGACGGGGATGCATCTAAATACTGTATATTCATTCATATAGGATTAAACAATGTTTACATTTATTTACAGAATTTAACTAACCTTCAGAATGTCATTCTTTTCTAGAAACAACCTGGAATATTTTAAAAGATGTTCGAAAATAAAATTTTGATATTTTAACGAGTATTTCTTCCTTTTTAGAAGTTTTCATGAATGCTATAAAAGTGATTAAAATCCTTAGGAAACAATGTTTTATAGTTTATTAACCAAAATTTGCTAGTAATCCTCACCCAACTGTTATATATAACAGAGTATTGCGATCGGTCAAAAATGATCCCAAAGATTTTTACATTTTTTTTTTAATTGGGGGCTTTTAAACGTCGAGAAATGCAAAAAATTGCGTTTTCCCCCCTCTATGGTTGCTAGTGTGGGAGCACAATTTTGTTTACCCCTCGAAGCTTAATAACCCCTGTACTTTTTGTCGAAAATTTTTGATATTTTGCAGGGAGGTTTGTTTGTTAGGGACATTGATGCTTTCAAATTTTGGTAGTTAAAGGTCGAGGGAGTGGTGTGACATCGCGAGTGTAGTCGGACCTAACGAAGATTTTATTCGTTATTAGCATTTACGAATTTTTTTTATAAAACTAATTAATTTCGATCCTTAGAATTAAGCTTTTTGCCATTTTATAATAATAATAATATAAATGTTTTTATTAAAATATCGTAACAGATGGCACCACACACAATATAAAGATTTTTGCAGGGAAAGTTACACAGCTCGTTGTTGGATTTTTGTAAGTGTTGTTCAGTATCGGAATATAAAGTACGGTGAGTTTTGTCTGAATTTTTTGTAGATTTATATGTATTGATATCAATATAAATCTGTTCAATGCCGTACTTTGATTACAAAATTTCTATATTATTACTAAATTTACTCAATTCGATAGAAGTAATTTTGCTTGTTGAGATTTTTAGTATAAGAATTTCCATTTTTTTAAAAATCTAACTGCAACTTTATAAAACATTTTACTCTTATTGATTCCTTAAAATGTTCACATCGCATTTTAATCCCTTGATCATTATAAAAATTGCTAACGAGTGTAAATTATTTATTAAAAAGTACAAAGTAATTATTACCTATACATTATAATCAGTCATTAATCGTTCTGTTTTACATAAACTAAATGTAATTATTCGCCTAAATAAAGCAGTATTTATATATTATATACAGTATATTATATAATTTCTATCGATCGTGGTTCAACCCCTTGGCATGTGTCGAGCCCTCTTTCAAGTCGATCAGCTCCTAGAGGTCAATATCGATCCCGTTAAGAATCCCGTTAAGAATTTAGATAATTTTGTAGTTAAGTGTAAACTGCAATAATGCTAATCAATTTAAGATGTACGACCAAATTTTAAAATTTATTTCTTATATCTTGCTAGGAATTATTTTTTAAAAATTTTTAGACCAGTTTCTATAAGTGGCCACTCGTTTCTCTTGAAACATTTCCGAAAAAATAATCTGATTAGATGCTTTTTTTACATGATCTTTGCGTCTTTTAATCCTCCTTACATCTGTACGAGTTTCCAAATCTGAAGAAAATCGTGCTGGAAATTGATATTTAGAAGTTTATACGGGGAAAATGTTCTAGAAAACTTTCGTTTCGGATGTAAAATATTCAGAAGTTGAATATTGTTAAAGTAGTGTGGTTTGGTTAGATAGGATACAGCAACGATACACACGGGTGATATGCCAAAGGGTATGCCTCCCGAGAGGATTTTTCTCTGAGAAACTGGGCTCTTATTTAGGTGTTAGATACGTGAAGAGAACCCGGAAAACTCCACTTGGTTAGCCTGTTGGTCAGGTGCTAACCCACGACTTGTACGGTGGATTCATTCACTTGTAATTAAAGTTTGAATAAGGATGGCGTGAAGAAAAACTTACCTGCCTCTCGAGGAGATTTACGGGATTTATTTTTGTTGCATTAAATAACAGTATAAATAAGATTACATCGGTTTACTTTATTACAATGCCTAGTAGAATATGTAATTTTTAACGTGGAGTCAAGAATATTTCTGAGTTATTGTAGTTTCCTAGAACCTGGCATAAAGAAGAAAATGTTGTTTTAACGTATCTTAATTGTATTTTCGCGAAATTACAAGAATACCTTAAATCAAAGAAATCAAAATGAGATTATCCAAATCGAATTTTGTGCGAATTAGCTAGATTTCTCAATAATAATTGAATTGTTTCCTTTATTATTGCGAAATTTAGCGCAGAAAGCCTTAAAAAACCGATGATGACAAGCATAGAAGGGTGAAAAATAGTCAAGTTGTAAATGTATAGACATATTTCTTTCATTAATTGATTACCGCTTTCATTCTGAGTTTAGAAAAAAAATTACAGAAGTGAATTACATTGTCCTTATAATTTTTTTTTTTTTTTAATAAAATTTATCAACCAGTCCTTGTATTTATATGCCTACAAACACCTCCTGTATAAAATGGAAATCTTAAAACTTGAATGAAACAGAATTAATCTGTGTTTGCTATTTCATAAAGCTAAAATTTGGAGAATAAACACAGTGCCGTAAAAATCCGATATGATGTGTAAAAATTGGCTAAAACAATTTTTCTTATTAAACCAAATATTTAACTATCGTATTTCAGAGAAAAACACTTTCACAAAATTGGAAAAAAGAAGGGGAGGAAAAATCTTGGAGTGAAAATCGAATATGAAGTGAAGAATGAACATTATTAAATTCTAGATTAATCTTACTTTAAATAATTTCTTATCGAAAAACTTAGTTAATAGAAACATTTCTTAAATGATTTGTTGAAATATTAAATATTAGCAGTTTTTCATAAACAGAACCATACGTTTGAATTCCAGATATACAGAATTATGATTTTCACCTTAAATTCTAGGGACACAGAATTAAGATCTGCACCTTAAATTCTACGGTTATTTATGATTTTTTACCTTAAATTCTAGGGATATTCTGTATCATTTTGTTTAGGTCAAACAATAATTATATAAGAGTAAAGATGTAAACACGAATTAAAATTTCTAACATTTGTGATTAACATGATTATAACTTGTAAGCAAACGATCATATGAAAATATAAGATATTACAATTCCAGTGATTTAAAATTAAGAAGTAAAAATTAGAGAAATTAAACTCATTTACAGGGAGCTTCGTAAGTCTGGAATCACAGGAGCGTTGTTCTTTATTTATTCGTTTACAGGTAAAGCATGATGCTGAGTAAGGAGGAAGGAATCTAAGTTATTTTTGATGGCGAAGACCCGCAGTCAGCGTGAAGTTTTCAGCATCTAGACTGGATGCAGCCTGTTAAACTGGCTGACGGTGTGGGTCACCACCATCAAAAATGACTCGAATTCGTTTCTTCTTATTCAACGCCATGCTTTACACATAAAATAACTCCTGTGGTTCCGGATTTATCTGTTATGTTTATGGGCCACACATTGATATTACTGCATGACATTTTTAGCCTTGTAACGGTGTACAGTTACGTGGTGTAAGTAGACTCTTGGGTCAAATTTGTCTTTGAAGTAATTAAGATAGCGGGCCATAGATATCGGTACACGAAAACCAATATACATAATTTAAAATTTATTTTCGAAAATGTTAATAACTTAAAACTAAAAATTACGAGCGTTAAAAATAAAAAATAAGATAAGTTCGTTTTAAGAATGACAAGTAAATACAATGGAGACATTATCTAATAGAAAACAACTTTATTGCTATCAGAATTTGCCAGACCCCAAGATTAATTGCAGAGAGATTCCCTGGAGACACATTTCTGTAAGCAAGTAGATAGCTGATGCAGTTAATTAAATAATAACAGCATTATCAGCAGTGTACGAAAAAAAAGGGGAAGAATTTTGTATCAATCAATAAATTAAGAGTTCGTCAGCGGAAACTTTCTACCCAGAAAAATTAAATGGCTTATTGTTTCTCTGATTTTGCACCGGGTGAGTTTTGTAAAAGGCACTTAATTATCCCGTTATTCAGCTAAATTTAAAATATCTTTTGACAAAGTAGAAGAATGTTATAAAATTATCGAAGTGTTTGCGCTTTGATGATTTTTATGTTGTTCGAAATGATTGAAAATGGATTCAGTTATCTTATTTATTTTATAATTGTTTAATATGTTTGATATTTATTATTATTTTTTTTATTTAAATAATTTAAACGGGAAGAGTTTCTCACTGATAAATAAGTTAGTTCTAGACTTCAGAGTTTGTTCATATTAAAAAAAAAATCATAAGCAAATAATAGAATATATTTGGTCCTTTTAGGGCCAATTGTATGTTATTTGATTATGTTGCTTGTTGTATTATTTACATGTACGTGTATGCTCTATTGTTTGCTTGTGATTGTTGCTTTAAGTATACGTCAATAGGCCCTATTAATTTNGCCCATTTATTTATGTAGTTTCAAAAATTTCTTTCGCTTATTATAAATGAATGTATTAGTGATTAAATGTATTCTTTCTGTGTTGCAACTATAAATTTCTCTCTTTAGAATTAATTTTTACTTTCTCGACTGTTATATAACGTAGAGATTATCGCACACCTTGATGCATGTATTGTAATTCAGCAAGCTATAAATTCAAGGATTCATCTAATGGATTTGCTTTCGAAATACACTCAATCATTCAAATTCGCGGGTTTCGTGCGCTACCCCTCCCCTATGGAATAGAAACCAAAATGGTATATTAGATTGAGGGCGATCTACCAAGAAGGCTGCCCCAGGAGGATTTTCTAGTGGAAACTGGTCTCTCAACATGTGGGAGAGCTATCATAGGTGATGCCCCAAGACGACTTTCTATTGGGAACTGGTTCCTGAACTCGCGGGAGAATTACCATGGGTGGTGCCCAACGAGGAGACTTTCTGTGGGAAATTGGCTCTCTATTTAAATGCTACAAATGTTGAATAAAGCCCGAAAAACTCCACGTGGCCAGCCTGTTGGTGCGAATCCATGATCGTGTTCGGTTGTTTTTATTCATTCTGCTACTGGTGGCATCAATCCAGATAGGAAAGGTTCCGTAGGACCATTTAATTTCGAACCTCATTTGCATAATATCCTTAAAATTTACTAATTTATGTGGGGGGAAGTGAAAGTGGTTAGGAAAATTTGTTGGATCTTAGGTGCTGGGCCTGCAATATTCCATAAAAATCTAACTACAATAAAATAAATTTTTAACCCATTTTATAATTTACTGTAGAAGAAAGAGTTAAATAAATTAGAACAGTGGATATTTCCCTTTTTTTCTGTTTTTATTCCAAATATAGACAGCGAAATGGTGTGGGCGGGCACGTCTGGATGGGCAGATAAAACACGCCAGATGTTTCTTTGTGGGGGCGATCGTATAAAAATTAGTAAATTGCTTAGTTATGCCCGGAAACAAACCGCGAAAAAACAAAATGAGATGTAAATTTGTATTGAAACGTAACCTTTAATTAATGTAACTATAAAATATTTTAAAACATTCTCCAGTTTACTTTAATTATAATGGAGTAAAATAAATTTATTCCAAATGTAATGTCCTGTTTTATTACAAATTTCTTCGACTCTCCCGACTGTTATAAATTGTATAACAGGGAAAGTATTGCGATGATGACTCCCCGAGATTTTTACATTTTTAAATTAAGGGACTTAAAGCGTCGAGAAAAGGGGGGAAAACCCCCACCATTTTTTGTGTGGTGAGCACAATTTTATTTTCTTACTTTAAAGCTTAATAACTCTTGTGCCTTTCGTCGAAAATATCTGAAATTTTACAGGGAGGTTTGTGTATTAGAAGGTTTTATGCTGATAAATTTTGGAGATTAAAGGTCGAGGGGGTGGAGAGATATAGAGGGTTGATGTGTCATATCTCGACTGAGGTCTGACTTATTGAAGCTTTTACTGGTTATTAGCATTTAAGTTTTTTTAATACATAAAAAATTTCTCTCTACCCTCAAAATTACGCTCTTGCCGCTTTGATATTTTATTTTAATTATTATATACTAGATGGAGCCATACACAATTTTAACTTTTTCGTGGAAAGTTATGCAACTCGTTGCTTGGTTTTTTTAATGCGAAAATAATAATTTATTTGTTATATATTAATCTTTTTTTAAAATTTTTGTCAGTATTTCGATGCCAGATTTTTTTTGCTATTGTTTTTTTCCCCTTGTTCTCTCACATACACACACACACACACACCAGGAATATAAATTATAGCGTGTGTGACGTCTTACTTAAAGCTTAATAAAATTAATTTGATAGAATTTTACATCTATATAAGCTACGTGGTTAATGATATATATTTTAAACATAGTTAAATAAACGTAATAAATTTGGTGATAGCGAATGAAATGGCAATTAAAATGAAAATTTATTTACTTTATCCCTTTTAATAGAAAGACGTCACGTAGTAATTATTATAGAAACTTTATTTCCTAATAATTTTATGTTGATCACGTATTAGTGTTGACTCCTTCTTTTAACTTTACATTTGTATCCCGAACAACCATTTAAAGTAATTGTGCATATATTATTATTCAATTAAAACACACTTTTTATTATATTTATTTATTATTGCAAGGGACGAAATTATATTTGTAAGGCTTTGACAGCGTTTCAATAAGAAAATCGAGTGTAATTTTTAATTTAAAAAATTTCCATGATTCAGGACAGACGGACGAACGGACGATAAAGGGAATGTATACGTCTGCAATCTGAAAATTTTAGCCTAATAACACTCATTATGATCTTGAATATGGTTTTTAGTAATAGGTTCGTGCAATAATTTAAAGTTCAGTTCGTTCTCTGATTACAATGTCTGTCTGTCTGTCTATCCGTCCAATGAAACTAGAGCGAGAACCGAACCCACTTCACCACGCTTAAAGCACTTGGTTTGGATCACACTCCTACCAAATAAACATCAAGTTTTATTGTAATTTTAATTTACATCACAGTAAACTTAGTCTTTAAATATCCTCCTCTCGTTGGCTTCTACGTGGATTTAATTCGAGTTACGGCGGCCATTTTTATCTGTATTTATTTTCGAATTAATTCGGGAATAATAAGAAGTAGAAAACAATTTTACTAAGAACTTATTTATGTTAGTAAAAGTTAGAATAAAGAAGAAAGTAATTTTATAGCACGGTAAGCCACTCAGAAGTTCTTCTATGGTTTCTGGTCGATAAATAGGAAACAGGCGTCCGGTTATAAAAGAAAAGGATGTTCCTTCCGTTCTCGGTTCGTGTCAACGCTTTATGGAGTCGTTGACATGCTGCCGTGCATTTCCCCAGAGTGGAAAGTTGAAAGTGTATTTTTCTTTTGAGTAAAGTTTTGTTCCCCCTATCCGTTTCCTACCGCTCTATACAACTCCACTAGTTTTATTTATTAATTTTACTTGCACCGTTTCTACGAGTCCATTTATTTATGTAGTTTCAAAATTTTCTTTCGCTTATTATAAATGAATGTATTGGTGATTAAATGTATTCTTTCTGTGTTGCAACTATA